CTCCTCAGTTTCTGGGAATGGATCGCTGATCAATGACATTACCTCCTTCCTTCCCTCCCTTCCTCTGTCTCCCTTCCCCCTCCCCCCAGCCTCTTCTGCCCATCTTCCTTTTACAGACTAATAGTGAACATTAACTAACTCATACCCAGGATCATGGATTAGTTTGAGGGATTTGTTTAATTTAATGCCACCAACATTCATCATTCAGCAAAGAAGGATGACACTATCCCTTGCCAGTATCCCTTTAGAAGAAAAGATTTTACATTTTTCAGACTTAGAAAAATCACCAAAAAAGTGCATTCATACCTCAGGCAGTTTTTTCCTGTTGTATTCTGTAGATGGATCACACCACCTGTTACTCAGCCCATCAAGCCAATATTGGACAATAACCAATGAGCACCTGTCTGCTGAATGCTTAGCTTCAATAGTAGAAATCCTAAAATTTATTTACTAAACTCACTAAGGCCTTCCCAGTTTACAGATAAGTAAACTAAGGCCCAGAAAAGTCCTATATACTATACATATCTGTATTTGCCAAGTGTCTGAGGAATATTTTTCATCCAATGTGGGACTGTGGAAAGAACTTTGACTCTGAAATCAGAAGACCTGTGTTCAAATCCTACCTCTGACAATGTGTACTATTTGACCTTGGGCAAGTCACTGAAGCTTCCTGGACCTCAGTTTTCTCATTTGTAAAATGAGATGTTTAAATATATATATGTATATAGGATCCCTTATATCTCTAGATTTATGGTCTTATCTACTGTGATTGATTCTACAATAAGCAGGCTTATTGGGAAAGCCTAGATTTAACTTAGGGTATTGAAACCTGTAAGTTTTTGCTCTGAGGGGGTCAGTAGAGAACTTGCTGGTCTAATGTGTTGCTGAAATATACCTTGATAACTAGATTAGTTCTTATTTTTTTCCACTTATTCAATAGAAATAGGGAGAGGCAGCTTGTAGAAAACTGTCTTCAAAGTCAGGAATACCTGTGTTCAAATCCCACCTCTGACATACTGGCTGTGTGACCCTGGATGAGACCTTAACCTCTCAGTGCTTTTGGCAACTCTGTAAGATTTCTCTAAGTTTTAGAGAAGGTGCTGACCAGCATTGATAAGAGGGGATTTCATCATCCCAGTCTCTGAAAGCACAGGTCCATTTTCTCTCCCTATTCTCTCTCTTCTTTTTTTTTCAAAGAATGCTTTTATTGTATTTTTTCTCAATTGCATGTAAATTTTTTTAAAAATAATTTTTGAGTTTGATTCCTTCCCTTCCACTCTTCCATCCCTCCCCACTCCTTGAGAAGGTACGGACTTTGATATAGATTATACATGTGCAGTCATGTAAAACATTTCCATATTAGCCATGTTGCAAAATAAAACGGACTAAAAAAACCCCCAAGAATAATAAAATAAAAAAAGTATGCTTCAATCAGCATTCAGACTCCATCGGTTCTTTCTCTGGAAGTCCTTCAGAATTGCCTTGGATCATTATATTGCTGAAAATAGTTGTCATTCACAATTGTTCATTGTATAATATTGCTGTTACTGGGTACAATGTTCTCCTGGTTCTGCTTACTTCATTTTTTATCAGTTCATGCAACTCTTTACAATTTTTTCTGAAAACATCATGCTCATCATTTCTTACTTCACAATAGTATTCCATTACATTCATATACCACAACTTATTTAGCCATTCCCCAGCTGATGGGCGTCCCCTCAGTTTCCAATCCTTTGCCACCATAAAAATAGCTGCTATCATCCATATTCTTTACAGTAGAAATACAAGGTCAGATTTCAGGACAATGAATATCTCCAGCCTGTGTTGCGTAGGATCCAATGTACACAATATCATAGTGAAGAAAACGTACAGCTCCCTATTTGACATTGCACTGATACCTACCTGCATTTGTAAAGTGCCCTGAGATCACTTTATTAGAGATACTGTAAAATAGGTATTCAGCATTTCTCTTCCCTTTTACCATCTGCCCTCATGTCACCTGATCTCCCTGATGCCCAGGTCCTTCAGTATAATGGTCCTGCAGCTGGGTTACCTGAAGAAAAAAAAGGTGGGTCATCTGAAAGCTGGGGAAGATGCACAAGGTTTAAAGGGTTACCGCTTCCCCAGGGAGTTGAGCTGTTGATGTTTACTGATTGTTTTGTGCTGGCTGAACTCTGTGCCTGATCCCCCCTGAGAATTTTCTCCAAGGACACTGCTACCAGTCACTGTTCTCCTCAATAAGTAAGGACATCTGGGTCTTTGCTTCCAGTCTCCCTTTCTCTCTAGTTAGTAAAGTTCTGTTGTCAATTTAGGAAGTATTGAGGTGAAGGCAAATGTTGAGGGGTGAAAGGGAAGCTTGGGGCATCTGGAATGGTCAGATAACACTGGAGCCTGACCACATTGGTGAGGGAGCATGGAATGCTGAGGTGATAATGTCATTCATTGGCATCTATATTTATATCCTTCCTGGCTAGGATGATGGATTCTTGGATTTCTAAAGGCCTGGAACTGCACTGCCTCTTGTGGAAGGTTGAGGAAATAGCCATTTTAGTGGCTCCTTGGGTTCAATTCAAACTGCCAAGGGCTGCTACATTGCCCTCCAGCATTTACCACACATTCCCCCCAAACCCAACCCAGGGGTTTTTATCCATGAACAGAAAAAAATATATATCCTTACTCTGCCTACAAAACAATGGCCTTTAACATCAGAGGACTTAGCTTCAAGTCTTGACTCTGAACTTGTCACCCAAGATCACACAGATAATAGTAATATAGTAAGTCATTGAATTTCTTTAGGATTTATTGTTAAATGAGGAGTTGTTCCGATTGGTCTCTGGGTTCCCCTCTAGCTCTCAATATGTTATCCTATGATTTCAAAGTAGGCATGTATCCCTTATACAGGGGGATGCATATCAGCTTATACCTCATGTCCAGGGAGGAAATTGCCCAATAATCTGTCCAGTCCTGGTCAGCTAGATGGCACGATGGGTAGAGTGCCAGGTCTGGAGTCAGGAAGACTCATCTTCCTGAGTTTAAATCTGGTCTCAGATACTTATTAGATTTGTGACCCCTGGGCAAGTCACTTAATCCAGTTTGCCTCAGTTTCCTCATCTGTAAAATGAGCTAGAGAAGGAAATGGTAAGCCACTATAGTATCTTTGCCAAGAAAACCCCAAATGGGACCACGACGAGTCCACATGACTGAAATGACACCAACAACAACCACAACAATGATCAATCCTTCCTATGATGGAAGTTCTGTTACTGAAGTCAGTGCATCCATCATTCTCACTGTCTCTTGTCTTCAGTCTCTCCTTATGTACTGCCTTCTTTCTTGGTGCCTACAACCACATCAACGTCTCCCCTATTCTTAAAAAAAAAAAAAAAAAAACAAGCCCTCACTTGATCCTAACATACAACTAGAAAACATCCAGCACTTCTCTTTTGTCAAATTCCTTGAGAAAGCCGTCTACACTAGGTGATTCCACTCATTTACTTCTAAACCCTCTGCAGTCTGGCTTCCAGCCTCATCATTCAACTGAAGCTTAATAATGTCTTATTGCTGAATCAAATGACTTTTTTCTCAAACCTCATCCTTTTTTTTTTTTTTTTTTTTTTTTTTTTTTTTTTT